TTCCTCATGGGCCTTATCACTGCACGCCAATACTTCCAGCAGTACCACAAAAATTACCGTCCTCACCCGGCCCCAGTATTCTAATTAATACTATTGGATTGGCTCGCTCTTAGTTTTGATGTCCCTCCTACACCATGTATTCCAACGCAAGTCTATAAAATCCGTAATAACCGAAGAACAACTTTTGCTTCGGAAATGGATATGGTCACCGACACCGTACAAACTGTTCAACAAGGACAACCCGAGTCGAGATTTTTCACCTAATTTGAAGCAAGGTTTGAGCGGTTTGAGCGGTTTTTTAGACGGGTGAAACACACTTCACCAATCTCATTGGACCCGTCAATCAAAAAAACATCTTCACCTCAAATCCGACCAACAAGCAATAGAACAGCTACTGCAATTGACTGAAGAAACAAAAATTAACAAAATATCGCACAAATAAGTTACATTACGAGGCCAAACAGTGCACTGGATAGGCGCACTATTTTGTGTCTGTATATTACTGGATTCTATAGTCAAACCTTTAAACAAGTTCCAAATGTAAGTGGATTCCACTTACAAAACTTCCGTGGATTCCGCGTACAAGTACTTGTAGCGTAAATCTTGTCGACACATTTGTTGTGCCACGGATTCCGCAAGAAGCGAATTTAGCTAGGAACAACTGTAAGTAGATTCCACAAAATCTAAGTGAATCCGCAATTGTAAATGGATTCCACAAAATGTTAGTCAGTATTTGAGTCAGTATTTGAGATTGCGTCAGTATTTGAGATTGCGTAAATTCCAATTATTGGTTTTTTGGAAGCTTAACCGGAATAAATTCAATTTTTGTAGTCATTGGATTGAGAATATTTGGAAACACAACGCACATCATATCGCCGAATTAGTTCAGTATTCGAGATTGCATAAATCCCAAATACTGGTCAGTGTTTGGGATTCCATCAATCCCAATTACTGAAGATCTAGTAGATTTTGATTCTAGTAAAATGAGATCGAAGTTGACCGTATTTGAGATCGAAGTTGGGTTGACAGGAATTGATACCAAACGTTTGGTATCCAACTGGTAGTTATTCAATGTAGTAATTGAGATTGATTTTTCTGGTGACCAGATATAAGATCAAACACTATACTACACATATACATATACGTATACGGAATCCGCAAACAAATTGCGATTCTACTTACAATTTGCGGATTCCAGGTACTATTTGCGGAATCCGCTTACAGTTGCGGAATCTGCAACAGCTCAATTTAACTACATAAATGTCTTATTATTTGTTTGTGGATTCCGCAAACTGTTCTGGAATCCGCAAATTTGTTTGCGGATTCCGCAAAATTACCTATTTTCGGAGCAATTTTGAGCGGTACAGTGTTTTAGGTATTTGCTTGAGGAAACCAAAACAGCGAAGAAGATCATAGAAAGTAGCAAAGTTGCGGCTTCCACGACAAATCTGATTCTGGTGAATCCACTTGCAATGAACAGAATGCACAGTTTGGCCTCGTTATGAAGCATGCTCACCCTACCAAAAGCAAATAGAAGACATTTTATTTTTCAAGATCAATATTTAAACCGATATCTAGAGAATACGCAAGATTAAGATAAGATGATCTACAGTTAAAAAACCGAATACAAAAATACTTAATCATCATACGCCAGCATAAGAGCTAAAAAACTTCCCAAAATGAACTAGAAACCAGACAAGTCTGCTCGTATATCAGGGCAGGGCAAAGCCCTAAATGTTCAGACTATCCCTTAATGTATATCGAATATTTTTTGGGAAAAGAAAATATTGAAAACCTATACATGTTGGACAAAGTCACAGTGTAAAAGTTTGAGTCTTACGCCACTAATACGACTAATTAGCTAGTCTCAATACAATTGGTAATTCGCGTTGCCCTCAGCATTATGAAAAAAATTCTTCCAAGCTCGCATAATTTAGTCCAGAAGATGGCAAGCTTGGCAATTTTCAAACTTTACATAAACTTTACAAACTTTACAAAAAGTTTTCGGAGTTGAAATATATTCTTACATTTGAACTCTGGAAATTGTTATTTTCAATAGGGTATAAAAAAACTTTGCTGAAAGTTATTATTTCGATCGGTGAAAGTTGACTGAATAAAAAAAAACCGCACCTAATACAGATATTCCGTTTTATTCGAAAGTCGGATTTACAAACAAATGACTATATTTGTAATATCAGCCATGCAATTGAAAAATATGACAAAGATACCCACCACATCAAAATGGCTTTCTCCATATAAAACATAATCTTCCAGATTTTATCATCTCAGATAGCGTGACAAAAATGCGGTGTACTTTATTAGGAGCTACTCTATAAGATAAGCCCCAGCAACAATTTGCAATAAGGCCCCAGCATTTGGCGTGTTTTGTTGAATTTCACAATTCTTCAAAATTCATTTTACGCAACAACTAAAACATTTGATTATGTTTTTTAAAGATAACTTGCTGCCATAAATATCTTTCAGAAGAATAACGTTCGAAACTATTTCTAAAAATGTTGAAAACAACTGTGATGAAAGTCTCCTTTATACACTGATTCGTCGAATTACATTTTTTGCTGCTTTTCACTGTTCAAGGCTATGAAAACATTTTCAAATTATTGTTAGTATAACCATCAAACTTTGAAAACACTTTTACCTAGGAAAAGACCCATGTCATCATACTATCTGATCAAAATCACAAAAAAAAGATTAAATGAAAAGCTTGATCAAAACTGTAGAATAACATCATTTTCATCAATTTGTCCATAAAGGTCTGTCTTTTAGCTTAAAACGAGAAAACACATTGAAGCCCTGACCGGTCTCTCCTTTTGGGCCTTATCACCGCACGCCAATACTTCCAGCAGTACCCCAATAATTACCGTCTTCACCCGTCCTCAGTATTCTAATCAATACTATTCGATTGGCCGGCTCTCAGTTGTGATGTCCCTCCTACACCATGTAGTCCAACGCAAGTCTATAAAACCCGTAATAACTGAAGATCAACTTTTGCTTCGGAACTGGATATGGTCCCCTTTTGTCACCGACACCGTACAAACTGTTCAACAAGGACAACCCTAGTTCACCAATCTCAATGGACCCGTCAATCGACGGCGCTCAATCTACACAGCACTCATAGGATGAAACTGATTCACTGATCCCTTGAAACATTAACTCTCTCACCCCGTAAACATAACTCAAAACATCTCACGAGGAACTGAAAGTTGACATGAAAAAAACCTCAAAAGCTTTTGTATAGCAATCATAAAAAATCATAGCACACATCATAAAAACGAGAATACTTGAATCAAACTTGGGGTTATGTTAAGACCTTCCTAAATTTCTAATCTTATGCTTGAATTTGTGATTCTAATGAAATGAGATCGAAGTTGAGATCGAAGTTTGCAGTATTTGAGATCGAAATTGGGTTGACAGGAATTGATACCAAACATTTGGTTGTCAATTGGTAAATGATCTTTTTAGTAATTGAGATTGATTTTTTTGGTGACCAAATATAATTTCAAACGCTATAATACATATATACATATATGTAAATGGAATCCGCAAACAAAATGCGGATTCTACTTACAATTTGCGGATTCCAGTTACGCTTAAAGTAGCGGAATCGGCAATAGCTCAATTTAACTATACAAATGTCTTATTATTTGTTTGTGGATTCCGCAAACTGTTCTGGATCCCGCAAATACGGTTGCGGATTCCGCAAAATCACCTATTTTCGGAGCGATTTTGAGCGGTACATTGTTTTAGGTATTTGATTGTGGAAACCAAAACAGCAAAGAAGATCAAAGAAAAGTAGCAAAGTTGCGGATTCCATGACAAATCTGATTTTGGCCTGTTGCTGAATCCACTTACAATGCACAGAATGCACAGTTTGGCCTCGTTATGAAGCATGCTCACCACACCAAAAGCAAATAGAAGACACATTATTTTTCAAGATCAAAATTTCAACCGATATCTAGAGAATACGCAAGATAAAGAGAAGATGATTCACAGTTAAAAAACCGAATAAAAAAAATCATAATCATCATACACCAGCATAAGAGCAGGAAAACTTCCCAAAAAGAACTAGAAACCAAACAGGACTGCTCGTATGTCAGGGCAAAGCCCTGAATGTTCAGACTATCCCTTAATTTATATCAAATACTTTTTGGGAAAAGAAAATATTGAAAACCTATACATGTTGGAGAATATCACTGTGTAAAATTTTGAGTCGTACACCACTAATACGACTAATTAGCTAGTTTCAATTCAATTGATAATTCGCGTTACTCTTAGCATTATGAATAAATTCTTCAAAGAGCGCATAATTTAGTCCAGAACATGGCAAATTTGGCAATTTTCATACCCCCAGAACTTTACAAAAAGTTATCGGAGTTGAAATAAGTTTTTACATTTGAAATCAGGAAATTGATATTCTCAATGGGATATAAAAAAAATTGCAGAAAATTATTATTTCGATCGGTGAAAGTTGATTGAATAAAAAAACCGCACCTAGTATAGATATTCCGTTTTATTCGAATGCCGGAACAAGAAACAAACAACTATAGTTGTAATATCAGCCATGCAGTTGAAAATAATGACTTACATACCCACCCCATCAGAATGGCTATCTCTATCTAAAACACAATCTTCCAGATTTTCTCATCTCAGATATCGTGACAAAAATGCGGTGTAGTACTTTATTAGGAGCTACTCTATAAGATAAGCCCCAGCAATAATTCGCAATAAGGCCCCGGGATTTGGCGTATTTTTTTGAATTTCACATCTCTCCGAAATTCATTTTACGCAACAACCAAAAAAAATTATCATGTTTTTTGAGGTAACTTGCTGCTATAAATATCATTCAGAAGGATAACGTTCGAAACTATTTCTAAAAATGTTTAAAACAACTGTGATGAAAGTATCTTTTATACATCGATGCGTCGGATTACATTTTTTTGTTGCTTTTCACTGTTCAAGGCTATGAAAACTTTTGAACTAACCAACCAAACCCCACTGTCCTGCCATGCAAAGTCCCACAAGTCCTGCATAACCAATTGATGCAATTTTACTCACAGCATAAGCCCACTTCCCTGTTGGGTCGCGATAATCTAACTCATCCTGAAACCACTCGGATTCCATCAACAACCGAACTCCTAACTCGACAGGAATCTGCAGTAACTGCCACCAAGTGAAAGCACCTCTGGAAGCATTAAGAAGTGCTTCGACTATTTCCTGCTCAGCATTTACAATCAATCTGGTTGCCTCCTCTTTGATCACCTGTACGAAAACCTCTCCAGTTTCGGTACCAATTCTGCGAAACGCTTCTGCAGCTCCACGTCCCAGGAGCTCAAGGCTTTCACGGAACACTCTGACGACCCCTTCGCGGCTGATTTTTTCGAACAGCTGTTTGAAGACATAGTAGCAACTTCTACTTGAAAGCTGCAGGCTCCAGGAGATCGCTAAATAGAGTATATCTTGTTTAAAACTTCACAAATGCTATTTGAAATAGTCAGACGAGTCACTTGAACAATATCTACTCGATTGATGCATGCCACAGCTGTAGTGCATATCACAGGCAATTGTATGTTTGTATGATTGTAAATTATTTTTTTAAACCAATAATATTTCAAAAGTAACTCTTAAACTACAGTGACGGGACATAGAAGTTACAACTTTTAGTTTTCAGTTGATGAAAGGAACGAAAACTTTCACGTTTGCTGTTTTTCTCTACAAGTACTTAAGATTAGAGGGCTAGATTCTTGGTTAAATTTTGACCGTAGAGGCTGTTTTCAAAGCGTTGTTTGGTCTTTTGATCAGATGTCTTCTCAGTGCCAATAAGTTCCCGTGAAAAGCAAAAGCCATTTACAGTTTTGGACATAAAAATTTTCGTCGGAAAGCTAATGGAACCAGATCTAAAATACATTTTATTATTGGTTATAAATTAGATATTTTATCACTATAAAATATTTAATATTAACCAATCATGATCCATCTAACTAACAACCCACTTATTTGTAAGTGCTGAAATTACTTGTAATTTCAGCACCAGAGAGATTTGAATTTAACATAGAAATTAGTTACCTCTCCAAGAGTCTTTTTGGCAATCGCAATAAACCAGTATGCTCTAGATCTATTGAGCCTTGCAGAGACTAGTTAAATACCCTGAGCCTAGAAGATATAAGAGTAAGATTAGGATCGGTATTAGACTAAGAAGTTGCACGAATCTATCCGGCCGAAAAAACGATAGCGTGACGAGCAGACGGTGTACCCTATCCGAAATTACTCAATGAGTTAGACCAAAGAACTTATTTCATCTGGTGCGACCATAAGTCTCGAATAAGACCTTAAAAACAAATAGCTTAGAACTAACAAGATAGATTAGATATAGACAAAAACATTTCCGAAATGTTACATGACAATAATTTAATTGAAGTGTCTCTACGACTCAATAGATCAGAGCCGCTATTCCGTACAATACGAGAACTAACCGGTATTGGAAGAAGATCTCGGACAAGTGACAATCTACGACTACGAAGAAACTTACCGTTAAGTTTCATGGTCGTACGGCAAAAGCCAACACAAACTTTTTATATTTAGAATTTTACTAGCAATGAATTTAGTTTTTCATTTGCAAACATAAAATCTTGAAGAAAAATCTTCAATAATTAATTCAGGCGCTAAACCAAATTTACTATTGTACAATAACGATTGATAAAAACATCTCGAATCGTGTCCTCCAAAAGTGCAGTAAGATTCAAAAAGATATCTGAAAAATATATTTATTAAAAATAAAAATTAGTTAACATGATCATAAATTGTTAGTATATACAAATCATTGTGTCACCTCCAGCTTCATCACCTAAACATAACAGCAATCATAAAACCACTAACCTCATCAAAAATTAAACGTTTCTATCAATTAAAATTTAAATTATTTTTAAAAGCTTATCCTAAATTGTATTTTTACTTAACTTAAATTTATCTACACCTTTAAAACAGATCATCAAGGCTTTCCTTGGATCTCCTTAAATACTTAACTTAATTCGTTTTATACCATTAAAATTTATATTCTGATCATCAAGGCTTATCCTTGGATCAAATAGAACAATTTTGTTCTCCCCCACCTAATTAATAAAGTGTCTAACGACCTTAAACGTCGATTCACTACCCAACCCTTTCAAAGACCCAGGACAAATAGAAATTTTTCAAATCATTGTAACCATTATAATTAGGTTAAACAATGAAGAACTTCGGTTATTCATCCTTCACTTGATCCCCCCTCTTACCTGACCCAGGCTAAATCTTAAATCTTAGTAAGTTTAAAATAGTACCAAACGAACTACTTGCGTTCTAATTATACTTGAACCTGGTAGATCGATTTACCATTCTCCAACCCTTGAACACAATCATTACCCCTAAGTAAGATTAAGTAAGTTAACACCTTAATTACAATAGTCACGAGAAAGTAACAGTCATTCTCCGGAATCGAGATATACTTTTCTCTCCAACCCTGAATAAAAAGACCCAAGTTAGGCTAACCAAAAAATCGTAAGAACTAACAGTCTAGGATAATAAAATCACTAATAACAATCTTGCATCCTTCATCCTAAACCTCATGTCACTGAACAATTTAAGAATTAAACAAACAATCGTACTACACAATTGCGAAATAAACAACGGAACAAACGATCTCGTAATCACACCACACAAACAAACGATTGGATATAATCGAACAAAACGACAAACAATAAAAAGGAAAATTATATGTAAACAAAGACAAATTATACGGAAAAAATTTTCAAAGCAAAGAAACGCAGTCTCCGAATCAGAAGTCAGTAATTTAGATGCAGTTTGCAAGCTAGAAGAAACAGTAAAAAAAAACAACCCAGTTCACAATCAATTATATTTTTCTGATTCACAAGCCACATCACATTCATCAAAACAAGCAAACACAGGATAAAAAAGATATATAAAAATAAACCAGTACATTTAAACAATTGGAATCAACCAATCAGACACATTGAACCTTACGTACTAACAGTCATAAAACGAAAAAATGAGCCAAAGTCCAAGTGACGAGAGTCCAGACGAAAACTCTGTTTTCCCATTTCTCATCAATTCACTCACTGAAGATAGAGGTCAAATACAATTTTGCAATAGTCTAATCGCAAATGAATTCAAACAAGGAATTAGCCTATATAAAACAGAATCCCCAGAAAAAAAATCAAAAGACAAATTGTCGATCATTATTGAGAAGGAATATGTAAACTAACACAACAATATGGAATCTGCATCAAAGAATTCAGCACAGCAAGCAAATTTCATGGCAATAAAGTTATTCAAACAGACGACGTTGACATAGAATTTTCAAAAATTTTCGCACAATAGATTAAAAACATACAACACCAAAACTCACAAAGAGCAATTTCAAAATTTACTAACGATGTTTTGCACTAATATATAGTTATTTAACCATACTAGAAAAAAAAACAGAAACTGGAAGTACGTCAGCAGTTTAAACATCAAGACACACGAATGTATGATATGAAATTGCCGCATTCTCAGCATTTTTTAAAACAATCCATGAAAATTTTTCAAGCAATGAATTTTGACAAAATATTAAACACGATTTACAAAAATTCTTAGCAAGGTTCATAATTGAATTTCACACAACATATTGATTTAATTGCACAAGCAAGAAAAAAATTTAGACCTCAAAATACCAATGACGACACTGTTATTGCAGAAATATCAGATTATATTTGGGACCCTGATTGGTCTCTCCCATTATTCCTGAACATCCCAATAGACATCTCAAGTCAAGCAATCAGTACAATTTCTGTTCATAAAGACTATCTAAAAGTATTTCCACTTACAATAGATGCAAAACCTATAAACTATAATTCATTTTTACCCAATAGAAGACAAAATATTGGCTCAAATTCAACTCTTGTACAACAGGAAAATTTGAAAGGAACTAGAAATCTTACACAACAAGATATTCAAACACCATCACGTTTTATAAATGAAGAAACAGTTGAAACAATAGTAACAACTACACAACAAAGTATTTCACCAATACATCCAAACCTTACAACGCCAAAACCTAAAAATCCAACATTACCACAAGTAACATTGCAATCTACGGTTAAACTCTCGGTTGCTCCAAAATATTCACATATGGATTACCAAACATTTAGACCAATGACGAAACCAACACAAAAACAAAAAAAATTCACCAGAAATAATTTCGCAGATCACAATTATAACTATGTAAATACATCACAAACATCTAAACCTCCTCGTACAAACCCGCATAAACATTTATTTTCACAACGACAAAATTTCCAACAACCAACAGTAAACTTAGTAATTTTTAACGATAACCCGCGAACTCCAAAAGACCCGAGAGAAAATTACCCATTTTTCCAACAAAACAAACACAGTAAACAGTATAACCAAAAAAAAACATAAAACTTTTTATACACCTAAGTATCTTTCTTCAGATGATGACGAAATTTATGACCAAAACCATCAAAAAAATTTTCAAAACCAAAGACTACACTCTTATCACGTAACTCAACCAGATATTTTTTAAGCAGCATATACACGAGAACAACATGTGAGACAGCCTAGACCAAATCACGCATCCCAAAATAATAATTTCTGTTCACAAAACCCAGTCAAAACAGACTATTATCAAACAACACAAATGCAAAATGAAATACCACTACCATATTATTTACAACAACATGAAATAACAAAAAATCAACTTACAAACTTTTCACAAATGCCAAATGCCGCAGAATCACTACAAATGACAATGAATCCATACCTAATGGGTGGATCGTAGTGACATCAATTAAACCATTGATGGTATTTGTAGGCACAGACACTGAATATTCGGTAGAAAATTATTCAAATGTAGTCACAGCAATTTTAATTTTAAATATAGGACCTGAACCAATTAATACACCACTTCACAACAATTGGATACATAAACGCACAGCGTTAATTCAAAAAACACTTGATGGCGCAGCTCAAAAATGGTTTTCAGTTTTACCTATAGACATAAAAACAGATTGGAAAAAATTCACACAAGAATTTTCAAAAAAGTTTGATTCTGAAAGAAATAAATAACATCAAAGAATTTTATGTAATGAAATTCGCAGACTACCAAACGAAACAATTAAACAATTGGTAGATCGAATCGAAAGACTCGTTCAAAAACCATTTTCACTTAACACTCATGATTACAAAATTACGAAAACGACAGAAATTTTAATGATGACTCTAACACCTCAATTAAGAAAAATAGCTATTAAAAAGAGAGCATCACATCCCTCCTCAATTCGAGAACCAGATTTAGATTTCAGAATACTAGTTGATAAACTAGAACAAGCAGAAATCAAAATGAAACTCGAGAAAAAAGAAAATCTTAAACTACAATTCGTTAATA